AGGTGGAGGAAGAGTTTAGTTCATTTTGATATGAAAAAAAAAAACTATTTTATGAGCTAAAGTCCTGCTTTGATAAGTAAAGGTGTGAAAAGTATAAACGCAGTCTTAAAACTCATTTATTCAGTCTGGCTTTTATATAGTGCCTTATGATCAATTCAAATTGACATTACTGTATTGTCTTTTTTTAATCCTACAACAATTTTAAATAATTTCCTCTTATGTATTTATTTTAATATCTTGTTGCTTTAATGTGTCGTATTTTATTTTTTTATTTTTATACATATTTTTTAATTCTTATTGGTGTGCATTAGTCTCTCAATGATTTTATCAATGATTTATAAACTTTGAACTGCAATTTAATTTGTCTGAAAGGTGCTCTATAAATAAAGTTTGATTGATTGATTGATGTGGGTGTTTAACTTACAGTATACTATATCGTATAATCAATCTATTACATATCAAATGGGTGATATACAAGTAGGGTTGAACTTTCTTTTAGCCAATTTGTATAGACCTGCAACTTATAGGCTACGACTGGTTTGGAAAAAATAAAAATCAGAAAATAGGGAGAAATTATGCAAAGTTTCATCTTCCTGATTTTCTTTCTTCCAACTAACAGTACAAACTTCAACCAATTTATTTATGTATCAGCTTATTTGTCAAGGACAATACATTTAGACATTGTTGCATCTGATTAAAATGCAACCGATGCAATATATATAGGACTTCTAGGCAGGGCTAATCCTTGTCCCTGGTTAGGCTTTTAGGAAATAACACACACACACACACACACCAATCAATCAATCTTTATATGTATGGCACTAATTCATTACAAATGTTGTCTCAAGACACTTCAGAAAAGAGCAGGTCTAGACTGTACCCTTTGTTATAGTATTCAAAAAAGACCCAACATGAATCCAACATGAGCGCAGTAGAAACATTAAGCAAAGTTACAGTGTCAAAAGAAACACTTCCTTATTGGATATGCAGAAAGAAGATAGAGAGAGAAACAACAACAACAATGAATAAATTATATTTAGGGTATAGCTACAATGTCAGTAATGAGGGGTTCAGAGCAGCAAGGCCATCCACACCAACAATCCAGAGGAACATACAAGACAAGGGAGCTCAGAAGCCCCCGTGCAGATACTGTATATGGTTAGTTACTGGAATGGCCCATAAATATTTAAAGTTAGTGGTATGCAGTAACAGTATATCATACAGAGAGAGAGAGAGAGAGGGAGAGGAGCTCAGGGTGCCAGGTCACCTGTGGTCAAAGCCTATAACATCTTAACTACAGTAGGAGCTGGCCCAAGCCTGAGCAAGCCCAAACAACAGAGAGTGTCTGCCTCCTGGACCCTGACTGGTAGATGATTCAAAGGAGAAGGGCCTGATACCTGAAGGCTCTACCTCCCATAGTACATTTAGAGACCGTATACCAAGAGCAGGCCTGTAACCTGAAGGCTCTACCTCCCATAGTACATTTAGAGACCGTATACCAAGAGCAGGCCTGTAACCTGAAGGCTCTACCTCCCATAGTACATTTAGGGACCGTATACCACGAGCAGGCCTGTAACCTGAAGGCTCTACCTCCCATAGTACATTTAGAGACCGTATACCACGAGCAGGCCTGTAACCTGAAGGCTCTAGCTCCCATAGTACATTTAGAGACCGTAGGTACCACGAGCAGGCCTGTAACCTGAAGGCTCTACCTCCCATAGTACATTTAGAGACCGTATACCAAGAGCAGGCCTGTAACCTGAAGGCTCTACCTCCCATAGTACATTTAGAGACCGTATACCAAGAGCAGGCCTGTAACCTGAAGGCTCTACCTCCCATAGTACATTTAGAGACCGTATACCAAGAGCAGGCCTGTAACCTGAAGGCTCTACCTCCCATAGTACATTTAGAGACCGTATACCAAGAGCAGGCCTGTAACCTGAAGGCTCTACCTCCCATAGTACATTTAGAGACCGTATACCAAGAGCAGGCCTGTAACCTGAAGGCTCTACCTCCCATAGTACATTTAGAGACCGTATACCACGAGCAGGCCTGTAACCTGAAGGCTCTACCTCCCATAGTACATTTAGAGACCGTATACCACGAGCAGGCCTGTAACCTGAAGGCTCTACCTCCCATAGTACATTTAGAGACCGTATACCACGAGCAGGCCTGTAACCTGGGAGCGTAATGTTCTAGAGGGTTAATATGGCACTATTAGCTCTTCAAGATATGATGGCACCCAGTGGTGTAGTGGTGCCTGGAGAAGTGGGTGGTGCCTGACTATTAAAATATTTGTAAGAGAGATGAAGCATTTCAAATTTTGTTCTAGGTTTTGGGTTTTAAGAAAAAATATCTGATGATAAAATCAAAATAAAGTAATTCAATCCTCATATTTGAGACGTTTCAACTAAATTTCTGCCATGAGTACTTTCAAGAATTAGAAAAAAAACATGTATAGATCATGTGTGGAAACACATTTACACATGTAATTTCTTATGGTAACTCCTATAGTGAGGTAAAATCTCCCTCTGACATCCAGTGAGGTCAGCTAGAGGTAAGAGCTCTGTCATATTAAATATAAACATGAACAGTGTATTCTTTGCTCAGCCAACCTAACCTATAAAGAGCTCTGAAAACAAACTGAAAACACTATCTAAATATCTCTCTCCTTCATGTGCCGCTCTGCCTTATTTGTTTTTTGTTTTTTCAGATCAAACATGTTTATGAGAGTTGTAATATTTCCATATATTACCAAACATGACATTTTACAACATCTGCAAACACACACAAGCTGTTATTAAGATGGTGCAGCTGCAGGTTTTAGTGCCAGATGGAGGGTGTATGTTTTTCATTACAGGTAAAGCCGCATTTAAAAGCCGTGCACAGACTGAGAGTCAGCTTTTGCAGTAGTATAGAATTTGAGATGTTTGAAAGAGTTTTCTGTTGAAGTCAAGAGGTGGCCTATTTGTAGTAGTTTCTAGCTTTTTTGAGACGTAGTGAATTTAAGATCTATTTTTATGAAGTAGATAAACGTTTTGGAGAGTAAATATGAAAGATTGGGGTCATTTATGCCTTAAAGATGACATAAAAATACGAACAAAACCCCCTATTTATAAATCTCTACAGCATTGAAGCATTCACTTTGACATCAAGCATCTCCTTCTCCATTATTGGACTATTTGAATTTGATGATCTAGTGTCACAGAACAGATCTGCAGCCAACGCCCACTCTCTTTTTTAAAACTCAATCACATGCGGATGAAACGTCAGCAGACATGCTGAATGTTATTAACTGGGCAGGACCATTGAGCCTCCTGTGAATATGACCTGTGTGCTGTTTAGGATGTTCCTAAAATAGATGTGCTGTCTGTTTTAACTATTGTTCCAAACCAAACAAACCAGTTCAATATGAATCTATTCTCAGAAAGAGGAGGCTTAACCCTCTATGTGAAGTCCAAAAAAGAAACAAGACAGTCTATATTTAGAGAGTTCTGTTATTATCAGGTGTGTGTCCAGACTTTGTTAACTGGGGTGGCCCACGTGGGGCACTGACTTATGCAGGGGCTGGCTTGACGTTTGTGGGCACACAAACACGCATGCAAATTATTATTATAATTTATTTACCCTTTCTATCCCCACTAATGATGTGTACTTGTAGGTAACATAATGTGGCAACTATAGATTTTCTTAGCTTGGTTCTGTAGGGACTCAAAGACAAAGATGTTTGTGTAAAGTCACTATTTTAAGTATTTAGAAAATTGCATGTAAACTCTTGTACCCTGAATAACTTTCAAAAATAAATGTATTGGCAATAAAGGCCATCGCACGTTAGACAGTGTGCACAAGATATTCTTTGGAAATGTTTATGGAAAGAGCAAAGTATTTATTGAAAACAGAAAGCATTATCCTGATGAAAACAGCCAGAATAGTTGACTCTTAAGTCCCGCCTCTGATTGGGCAGATAGCCAATCATAGATTTGGATTTTGAGGTTTCAGGTGGGGTGGCTCATCAGACTTCAAGGGAGGGCCGAATGCCACCCCTCTGGTTATTACTCTTTTTGCTGCACACTAAACAATAAAAACATTGAATGCCAAACTAACAAAACAACATTTGAACCTTGAATTAATTAAGTGGTTAATTTATGCACATTTCATTCAAAAATCATTCATCTTTCAATTGATTTGTGCATTAATAATCATGATAATAAGAATGGGGATGATAATAATGTGGAACTATCAAAGTGTGCTCTCAAATGAATAATAGACTTAGAAATTCTGTGCAGAAGTAGATAATAGAGATATATTAACTTCTGTTTCTGACATTAAATCTGAGAAATTTCCAAACAAATGTCAGAATAAACTGTTTCATCTTCTGTTTTTAAAGATAATTTTAAAAGTCAAATAAAGTTGCGGACCTTTAAACATGCAACCGTATCAAAGAAAAAAAAAACCTTTCTGGAAAGGCAGAAAGGGAAGGCTTCGACTGTAAAACATGAACATGACATCCACAACTCTATACTAGAGGTGTTTTGGTGTGTTGTTGTGCAAGCCAACATGACATGATGTAATTGATTTCAAATGGCGGTGGAGAGTGACCTCTGCTGGAATTTATCGTAAACAGCATCTTTCCCATGAATAAATCATTTTTGATATATTTGACACATATATTTATGAAAGGATGCATACAAAAGACCAACCATGATACCTAACAAAATGATATTTACTAGTCCTGCTTTACAAATCATTTAAGATAATAAAATGCAGCTGGCTTATAAACCCAGACATCCCATTGCTCCAATGTAGCATTTTTTTGCTACTCCAAATGTTCTGGGCTTGTCTTGGTCTCAGAGCCCTCTAGTCTTGGTTATGTCTTGGTCTCCGTTAGGGTGGTCTTGATTCAACACTTACTCAAACTCTGATTTGTTAAGAATACTTTGAGAAGAAACCATCATATGTTCTATAGAGAGACAGTCACAGACAATGAGTAGAAGAAACACTTCAAATAACAGAAGATTTTTATCTTTTGAATCAAGAAGTACTTCAATGCAAAACAAAGGCAGCAGTTCAGAATTAAGCTCTTAACATGTACAGATATAAACAATACATATCAGAAAAATAAATGTCACAATTCGTGAACCATGATAAAAATAGCCTCTGACTGACTGCCGTGAGGATCTACACTTTGTGTTCTTAGGCCCAAAGCTCAGGTCATGACATCATCAGCCCTTGTAAAAAAATAAGTTAAAAACACTAAGACTTAGAGTAAAAAAATATTGTCAGGTTTCATATTTTTCTAAGGTGGCTTATAACACCTCTGACCCACATCTGGAGGTACAACCATTACAAAAAACTACCTGATTTGACCAACACATTAATGCAATAGCTGCAATACGCAACAGTATTAAATAGGGAACAATAAACCCAGAACGCAGAAAAATTAAATTTCTCATATTGCTTGTGCATGAAAAGTGATAGCCTGTTGTTCACACAAATGATAAAAAATTGCACAATTATTTTATTTTTTTAAACTTTTTTTTGCATGAAGGGCCAAAGTAGCGCTGCTGCGTGATAAAAAAACAAAAAAATAGTGCTGTTTTTTTTTTTTAGTTGTTAATAAGACATTTAACTAACCAAGAGGATGCTGGTATCATTAAGCACTGGTCGTGTTTTTAATTAGAATTTCAAAGAGACTTAGACTCTATAGACAAGCTAGTGATTCAGTGACTCTGTACTCGAGCTAAATGGTAACGGGTTCACAGAGACAGAGCTAGCTTGTTCATATTTAGCAGGTAAGTTTACCATGTTTAACACATTAGTTTAACCTGTTAGCATTGTGACATTGCCATTTAGCATGAAACACAACGCAGTAAAAGCTGGGGCTGATTGGAATATTCTAAGTTGTGCAGTCATTTGGTCAGAGATAAAACAAAACTGGATAGTCATTTCTAACTAGCATCACTGTGAGCTACCCAGCTAGGAATGTTCACTTTCCTAATGTTATCATACAGGAATGTCAAACAGTAGTGCAAGCCAAGGTGAGGTTCAATGCTAACGTTAGCCTTCCTCTTATGTTAGCTGGGTTAGAATATGTTGTTTAACTTGAAGAAAAGACCTGACATTCTTGAGGGTTTTTCCTTCTTTTTGTCTGTTTAGTTTCTTAACCAGGAAGTAGTGAAAGTAACGGGATTTGTCAGACTGTTTATGTCTATTTGATTTGCAAACTGATTTGTAATAAGACAAGGACAGAGAGTCTCGGCCTCTACCAACATGTAAACAGAATTAACATATTGTTTAACGTGCAACATGTGGTCTGCCTCTACAGGGGAAACAAGTCTAACTCACCTTGAAGAGAACAGAAGATAATTTCCTTACTATTTATGAAAAATGCAGAGAGAACCAGTTTAGCCTTAGTAGCTTCTCTTCTTAGTAAAAATGACATTGACCTCAGGGAGAGGTCAATGTTTAAAACAATGGATGAATCTATTTTTAAAAAGAGTTTTAAAAGATTTTTTTCTACAAATGTAAGAGTTGTGAGTGGACACAAATAAGAATAATATCACATTAGACACATAACCCGTGGTGCTTTTGTAAATTCCATGCTTCTGCAAACCAATATAGTAAGTATGATTTCTTGTAATTCTTTTGGTGAGAGTTTATAATTATATCGCTTAAACTGGGACAAATTCAGCGCAACAAAAGTCCAATTTCACTTCATTAAAAACATTAAGACTAACAAGCTGTCTAGTCCGCCTGCTGCTGTAAGATCATATCCGACAGCACGTTAACGTCCATCTCGGACGGGTGGCTCTGAAGCACCAGCGCCACCATGTTGTCCTGACCCAGAAACACCTGACAGAGCTGCTCTCTAAGACTCTCTGTTTCCTCTAGACTCCTGACGTGTTGTCCCTTTCCTCGCCCTTTGCCCCGATTCCCTCCCTGTGTCACATCCAAAGCGCCGCCTGCGGTTCTGTCACGGAAGTTCAAGACCTCCGTTTGGGAGCGTGGAGTTTTGAAGGAAGGGAAAGTGGTGGCTGTGCCGGCAAAAGAGTGGTTTCCTGGGTCAGGAGTCCTGAGCAGAGACAAAGAACTTCATTAGGACAACACAGCAAAACCATTTTTAAAATGGTCCCTTATTATTTTTGGGCCTGTGGATTGTTACGGGGGGTACCTGTGTTCTGAGCGCAGGAAGTCGTCCAGGTGAGGCCCTCCTCTGCCCAAAGGGTCGTCTGGCACCATGAAGTGATCTCCGACAAACGTGTACTGAAGAAGTCTGTGAAGGAAATCACATGGGATTTGAGCACATCAATCAATCTAGAATCATTGAAATAGTACATTGTGTAGCTCCAGCCCTTTACGACACCGAATGGGGAAAGCGGTATAGATAATGGATGGATGAACTAAAAATAAGCTTCGGCAAATGTGTCTATCATAACCTTAAAGGAACATTATCATGATTTTTTTTCTTAACCTCTTTTTGATGATGTCCCTCCAGACGGCGGACTCATCTGAGAGGTCCCTCAGGTTGTCGTTAGTTACGATCACTCCATCTGTCTTCTGTGCAAGCTGCAGCATGAATCTGTGGGAACAAGAGCAAAGAGGAGTGAATTATTTCACAGCAACATTGACGAGAACCTAAAACTTCTAGATACGTTAGCGCCCCACAGTGGTGGTGCTAAAAGTATGCACAACATACTGATTATATGCAGGATTTTTGTAAAGTATAACCAGACTAAGGGTTGTTAGCTTAAATTTCAACACACTTAAGTACCACCATTGTTATGATTTATAAGACGTTCATTGTCTTCTTGGTTTGAGTGCCAAAATTTCGCCTTACAGAAACTGAGACAAGAAAAAGTTAGCACAACTTCTACCGAAATATGTCATGACAATTGAACTGCAACCCATGTATAGTGATTAGCATCAAAGAGCTAGATTCTTCCAAATACACAAAACTCTATCAAACAGTATGAAAACTAAAGATGTCTGGTAAGATCCTACAAAGAGGAAGTATTTAATCTTTGAAAGAAGTAAAGAAAACATTTTATTGGCACTGTTTGACATCGTGCATCATATTTTTGTTAGGCTGAAATGGCTGAGTCAGAATGTTCTGAAATATGCTACTGTACTGGTTCTACTATAATCTAGAGGCATCTGATGTTGCCTTCTGTAACAACACAAAGCATAAACAAGACTTTTAATTAAAGCAGCAGTACAGTCGAGTCCGTCTACCTGTCATCGTACGAGCTGATCCTCTTGCCTTGGACCTCTCTGGAGGGCGTGTAGGAGACCAGGCCCAGGTTCTGCAGCTCGGTCAGATAGTGCTTCTCTGAAGGGGCAGGAACAAAAAAAACACCAGGTTTAGTTTGAACTAAAAATCCCCCTACAAGCTCTCATCCTTGCCCAGGTCTGATGTGTTTCCCCCTGACGGGTGACTGAGAATCAAATGCATTCTATGTAAGAAAAAGATACTTGAAATAGCCCACTTTGGCAACACTGATTCATATACTTTGTGGGAAAACCCCACACAACAGGGGTTATGAATTCAAGTGGAAAGGTATGAATGTTATGCTAAAACCAGGCCAAACATATTAGATAGTGTATTATTTTACATATAATACATACACAATAAGTTTTACCTATATGTAAAAAAGAGGCCATCAAAGACGGTCAGCCATTCGCAAATACAAAGGACATTATGTTTCCCCCCCCCCCATCTCCTCCTGCTGCTATATCAGAGTATGATCCAGCCCATCCTAATGTACTGTTCCACATAATTCTTCAAAATGTGATGTTAAAAACAAGGCCAAACTCACAGGCATCACAACCACAGCTGCCAGAACAATTGGTCTCCCCACACCCAACCTAACAGAACTCAACAACAGGGACATCACATGCCTCACATCACACAATCTACTGAATCCATCCTCGTCACCCCACTTCCCTCAGGACAGAGGTACTAAGACATCCAAATGATTCCAAACTTTGAGCTTCCATTATATTGTTACAGTAGAGTTTAAAATGCTACTTGAGGAACAGGCAGTGTTACCTTTAATCCTGGGGTCGCTCTTTTGTCTCCACTGGGGCAAGAGGGCGCTGATGTGTCGATGGCCTCGGTCCCAGAAGTGCTGAACGGCCAACGCAATCCCACGGCAGGAAAAGAAAAGACTCAACCCGTGGCTGTAGGAACAGTGGATGAATGGTTTAAGAATTATAATAGGAACCTACTTTCACAATAAAAAATGTAACCAGATAAAAAAAAACACACACAGCTTAAATTCCCATCCTCCAATAATCCTTATTAAAGTAAATAAATAAGCAATTCCCACCTCATGGCAACGTTGCTCCCGTCAATGATGATGGTCCTCAGTTTCGGGTCTCCGGGTTTATCTGTTAGCTGAAGGTCAAAGCTCGCCTGCAGCCCTTCTAGAAAACGCTGCTCCCCTGTTACCACCACCGGAGAAGGAGCCACGATGCCACGTCTTTCCTTCGCTCTGTTCGGAGACGAGTCAGTTCTTGCGAAAAACGAGGGTGTATGTGCTTGGAGCCCTCGTTTGAAAGAGGTAGAAGAGTGGGACTTAGGGTTTGAGACATTGTCGTGGTTGGGTTGGGTTGGTTTTGGTGCGGAGGTATTGGCTCTGGTGTTGGTTTGGCCAAATGGTTTGTTGGTTTGGAAATTGGTTCGGGCCGTATCCAAGGACGAGGAATAAGTAGGCTTTGGTGGCCCTTTGACATCAGGCAGGATGATTTGGTGTGAGGTTTTTTGACTAGTGGGGGGCTGTTGAGGCTTATTAAGCCAAGAAAGCAAATCTCGCTCTCCAACATTTGGATTTGGTAGTTCTACCCATCCTCTAACATCAGATTCTCTCTTTTCGGCAGGTCTGAAAAGATCAATTTCGACATGTGCTTTGTTCTCCGCCGGTCCGACTTTCGATCCTTCTTTCTCCAGCACCACATCATCCATCTCTCTCGGCTCTTCCCGAAAGGCCCCCACTTCTCTTCCCTCCTCCCTCTGCAGTTCCAGGATCAGCTGGTGGGTGGATCCATCGTGCAGCTTGTTGTAGACTTTGGCTACGTTCTGCTCCATGTACCCGCAACTGGCAGCTGCTTTTTTCACCACTCCCAAGACAAAGTCCTCTTCAGAATCCTCTTTTTCCTTGTCCCTAGCCTCTTCATCAACGTGTCTTGTTCCTGTTGCACCATTCTCATCTTCACCACTAACGTCTTGTGCCTTTACCTTACTACCCATCTGGTTATCTCCTCCAGCTGCCAGTTCTACATCTTCTCTGTGCTCCGTCTCACAAGGTCGGTTCCTCTCCCTGTGATTCGAGGCAGCAGTATCTTGATTGTTCTCACGGTCACTGCGATCCTTCTCCTGTTGCACCAAGTCCAGTATCTGCGATGCCTCCTTAGGGCCAGTTTGCGCAAGAACTCGTTTCACAACATCCTCCGTGTACCCCATGGCTGTGAAGAACTTAAGAAGAAGCCAGAACTCTTTATTTCCCACTGGTGACTGGAGCTCAAGTACTTCCCCCTCCCCAAGTCCTTCGTTCACCTTGGTGCCTACCGTTGCCTCCTGTTCCATCTGCTCCTCTTCCTCAACCTCCTGTGGAGAACTCATAAGTCTTTTCTCAGCACCCTCAGCCTCCTCTGCCCTACCACTAGAGCCTTCAGACTGGAAGAGGGACTCCCTAACTGTGTCTCTCGGCAAACTTGCACTTGTTCCTTCAATCCATTGATCAGTAGTTCTGTCCCATTTATCCTCTAAATCCCCAAGTGGTCCTGCCCCTGTATATCCATCTTGAACTGTAAAATCGGTGTTAGATCCAATCCCAGAGTCTTTCACCAAATCCAGCAGAATTTCCTTCACTGACCCTGGTAGAACCAGAAGATCCAAGATGTGCCTGTCCTCCCAGTTCTCTACGAGGGTTTTAAAGGCTCGGCGAGAATCCAAAGACTCCCCAGAGCCTCGATCTCCAGTGTCAGAGCGTCTGGACTGTATGCCCTCATACCTCTCCACCAGGTCCATAATAAGGGAGTAGGCTCGGACCACTGGCTCGGCAAGACCTGATATTAGCAGGAATCCTGTAGAGCCAACCTGGTTGGGTTGAGGGAAATGGAACAATGTTAATCGTCTTAGTGATGGGAGGAAATTGAAGTGGACATTTTGAATGAAAGAGTGTTGCAGTGGTGGTGCTTTAGGAACTAAGGTTGATCCTTTTTGATACAATCTCTTTTATTTTAATGATTGATAGTATCATTAATCCAGAAGCTTTAAAATACCCCACACATCTTTGGCCTTATATAATCCCAAAGCTGCCGCAAGCCAGAGAGATCAACAGTGGTCCATTCAATTCACTGGTTGGCAAATATGGACCTTTCCCCAGTCTTTTTGGTGGCAAAGCTACGTTTCGGTCTTTTAAGCCCCTGACACACGATGCTGTCCAACTTTGTCATGGTCCAGCAAGGAGACTGTTTAGCATGCGCAGAACGCCTCGGCAGTTGAGGCTCTTACACAAAAGGTGTACACTCAAAAGTACACAAATCTCCAACAGCAACAAAAGAAGGTGGAAGAAAATACTGGTGAACAGAAACCATAATGCAGGATGTAAACGTCACCACCCCCTCCCACCATTTTCCTACTGTGTTCTCACAGCTCACCCCGACTTCACACTGGAAAATTGACTAGGGGGACTGGCTAGGAAAATAGTCTGGGTAGAGTCAGTGTGAATAATTTGTCTGTTTGCGTTCACACATGAAGCGCACTCTGAAAACTTTAGGAGTTTTTTGCAAGTGTGAAAGCCCCATTAGAAAGGGTTGTAGACACAATAACAGTTGATTAGTAAGCCACTTGTAGCAACTAATGAGAGCAAAAAAAAGTTGTCCAAATTTCCCAGGGCTGTATATTTGCTTTCTCACTAATATTCAGTAATAATAAGAATAACAGGCAAAAAAATTCCAATGATGACAGTGTTACATAAAGAGGCCATTGTTACCTCACAAGGAGATGACACATTTCTTTCATTGCTGGTGACGCAATACTGATCTTTACTCATTTTGTAATTTCTTAAAAAAACAAAAAACAAGTGCATCAACTTATTAGTTGATGTAATTATTGTATCAAAAGTCAAAAATAAAACTTGTGTCATTGAAAGGATGCAAGACTTAAAGGCCACATAATTTTCAACAAGTTTAATAAGTCGTAGAGCTCCCCGAAACATCTCTGTGAAGTTTCTTGTTCTAAATCCACTCTGATCCTGTATTTGATCATACCTATAAACCCCTCTATTTCAGCCCTGCTCAGAACAGGCTGTTTCTCTGTCTGTAGCTTTAAATATGTAAATGAGCTGTGTCTCTGGCTTTCTCGCTCCATGTCCTATTGTTTACGGTGAGAAGGCAGACTCAGAGGGCAGAACAAAAACTTAGCTGTGGGGGTATCACCCACCTGGGGGAGGGGCTAGTGCCCCTTGTGATGTCATGAAGGGAAAATCTCAAACAGCCTGTTTAAGAACACATTTTCTGTAAGTGTAAGTGTATAAGTAGCTGCATCATAAGTGATAGCATCAAACATTTAACTTTTTTCAAGTTCCTTTTAGCTGTTTCCATTTAGTGTTGATCCGTAACAGGTTCCTTTTCCTGTGATTAAGTTAATGATTAAGTGACCTCTCATCTACCAAAAGGTCCTTACTTCATTTCAAAATAAAAGCAGGATTTAACTAAACCAGCAAAAAAAGTACTTTCGGCTTAAGACACAAAAATAAGAAAGTACAAAAATTCAAAGTAAAAGCCTTAAAATAGTTATTTTTAAATTATAATTAAAGGACTTTCATACGCAATTAATCATGACTAACTATTTAAATTTAACGGTTCATCGCAATTTTGACAGCCCTAATATTTCAGTTTCCTTTCAAATCAAAGTCATTCACATTCTTATGGCACCTATTGACTTTAATATGAGTTTTGATTGCGCTCCTCTTTTACTTTAATAATTACCAAAACTGTTTTTTACTCACAGGTTCAAACCTAACAACTGCTTGCTGACATTTCCCTTGAATTATCTAAATAGTACAAATGAAGCCCCAAACAGAGACCCAGGATGCAACACTCACCACGATATGTGCAGAGGTGCTTTTGATCAGGGAGTCCATGAACAGCCCTCTGGCTCCACAGAAGACGCAGTGAAGGAGCCCGGGATATGAAACCTCCTGCTGCTCCTCCTGGTTCACGACTCCTTTCACAAACAACTACAACATGGGAATAAATCACATCAACACTGCACTGGTAATGAAAGTAAAACACAGAGCCTAAATTTCAATGTGAAAAAGACTGAAATCATACTTTTAGACCTAAAACATGAGGAGAAATGCTCTGTTGACTGAGACAGAGATGTTCTGAAAATGTTATTTTTTCATCCAAAAGAAATACAACAAAGGGGCGGCCATTTTTAGATCAAGTAGATGCTAAAAAAAAAAAAAGCAACAATAGGACACTTCCTTTCATTCCAAACCCTGCAGCTTGGCTTTACGCCAGGACCACGAGGAGGGAGCAGGGAGGGAGCTTATCTGCTCTGCACTTTCCTCCCCATAACATTTACATTTAATATCAAGCTCCTTATCCTCACATACAAACTAGGCCTTTAAGAACACTGGGATCGTTCGCCACTGGGTTTCAGTTCAGCTCAGTTTTTACTGGCTTTTATGAGATCATTCTTTTTTGCTACAGTATCAGTCAGTCACTGTGACTCGAGCAGGTTGGTCTCATACTTCACGTGGACAGAATTCAACAGATTTGTAATCAACATTCGATTTATAACCCTTCAGTGAGTCATTTTCAAGGTACACTGACCTTTTGTCAACGAGCAATGATGACTAACACTACACGTTGTCGGAGTAACTCAAACGAGGTGGCGTCTCAAACGAAATGGTTTAAAGCAAGATTAACTGCCGTGAAATACAACATGCACTAGAAAAAAAAAAGTGTGGGGTCAGGGTGTGGACGTTATGCTTTTTAAGGCATATCCAATCTTCAAAATGGTTTCAGCGATGTGTTCTGTAACTTTCCCCAAGATTACAGCTCATCTCTTAAAGGCATAATGTGCGACATTTTACACATAAATACAACAGGAATCAAATATATCCTGTGTAAATGTCTCTCTGAGTCATGACTGTCTACAATGAGCGAGAAGCTCGAGTCCCGCTGGCTGTGTTGTTGTCAGAGCCGTGTTTACATGGACGGGACGGCCAACTTGCATATTAAGCTGTTTTAGTCAAGGACTAGAGAGAAGAAGAAGAACATACTCACTGATTATTTGAATGTCACATAAACGTTTTTAGATCACGGTCATTCTGTGTCAATTTACAAGAAATGTGAATCTAGGAGCAAACTTAAGAGCGCTAACATTAGCATGCTAACACAACAACAGGCACAACACAGGCAATTACAGCTTGAGCAGAGGACAATTGTGTCCGCCTCTTGTGCTAAACTCGAGTGGAAGTCAGAATAGTGTTCATGGACAACAACAGCAAATAAATGGGGCGCTGGTAGCCTAGTGGTTAGTGAACGAGCCACATGTACGGAGGTTATAGAGCGGCCCAGGTTTGAATCCGACCTGTGCCTCCTTCCCATCCTGTCTCTAAAATAAAGGCAAAAAAGTCCCAAAATAAATCTACAAGAAAAGCATATAAATAACTAAAAATCATGACTCACTTTGGCAGCCGTCACGTTCTTCCTCCGCCCTTGTAGCTTGAGCCATATCTGTCCGTTGTTGTCCTGTGACGTATCATCCGTCCCGACTTCGAACCTCACTCCGAATATCCGCTCCACGGTGCCGTGAAGGGACGCCAGAGATCCTCGGAGAACCCCAGCACACGCAAACTCATCCTCCACCTCCGCTTCCCCTCCCCCATCGCTCCTCTCACCGTCCATGATGCGTTTTTCAAACCAGCGTCCAAGAGTTGAACATTCTGCGGAGAACAAAATATATAAACACACACCCGTTTGTAGGAAAATGATAAAATGTCTGACAGCTTGTTATCTCAAGTATCGCCCCAAGTGGACTGTTATTAACACAAACGTCAAAGTTATATTTGTTTATTAAACTTTAAGATTAAGGAATCCCAAAATCAGAATTGCTTTCTTTTCACCGACTTGTGTTCATTAAAATAATTAACTGAATATTATATGTGTTCCACAAAACAAAATGTGAACATGTACATACATCTCAGGAGATCAAATGAAATGCTGAATGAATGTGCGGTACATTTAAAAAACGAGCAATTCCCCATCAAATATCGCCTTTCAATAAATCTCGCTGTAAGGTATTTACAAACGGCAGAACACGGAAATTACGTTTTGTTTATTTTAAGAAAACCGCAAGAGACGGTTTAAGCAGTTTTGCTTTTCGTGTGGTTGGTCTCTGGAACCGGTTACTGTCTTCAGGTGAGTTCCATAAAACATAAAAAGCATCACACCATGAACTCTGTCTAACACATTTCGCGGAGTTTTTACACCGAAACCAACAAATTGACCGCTCACGCACTCGGTCGTCACTTCCGGGTCACCTCCGGCATTTGGTACTTTCCCTTTCCAGCCAGATTCTGATATTTAAATATGTGTCGTGACTGGTTAATGTGTTTTGCATCTTGTACACTTGTTTTCTAAAATACAAATTTGTATTTCCCTTGATAAGAGAGTTTTGCTTTTGTAAATTTGTTTTATAACATGCAAAAAAAAATTCAAAAATGTAAAATTCTCTCGAGCTCTGATAAAATGTTTTGCACTCCCCAGCCACCGTACAATTGGTTTATATAATATGACTGAAGGTCTTTTTTTTTTTAAAGCTTCTGTATCGAAACATTGAAAGTGAAATGTCATCACCCATATCCAAATATTTGGTTAAAGGCAGGTAGATGTAAATGTTATATATAACCATTAAAAAAGGGTAAGTCTGAGTAAAATGGGAACATTTTGAAAAGTGTTACGACTGTCTCCCCTGCTCAGATACTTTCTTTCAGCTTTCGTTGAAGTGTTTTCCATCTTTAAAACCAAAATACGACGTCAAAGCGTATCCGACACCCTGCGCGTAAACAAATGAAACATTTATTGTCAGGTAAACAAACCTATCCTCGGGTTACGGTTAGTACGCACAAGCAGGAAACAGGTCTTTGAAATCAATTACAAAAAATGTGACTTTTAAATAATAATATATCGTGTTTCTGTGTCGTTTTTCTTACGTGAGCTCGGTCGCTTTTTTCGCCTTCAAAGTTTCGTTTCCAAGCAGCTCCACCGACGGAGACGCGGCTCGGCTCGCTTCCAGTCTTCCGCAATAAAACAATAACACGCAACCAATCAGTCCGAAGTTCAACATAACATGTGGTTATGTCAGAAGAAAAAAAACTAAAATAGGTTATTGCTCCTGGAAAAAAGGGTTTCAAATGTGACTTCACTGCGGCGAGCAGGCGAGGCGGATGAGGAAGTGTTTTCTAGGTCTGGACCGTCAAACCAGTCGAGTGGTTGAAACCCGTAAAGACTAAATCGAAACTAAAGGAAAAACTCACGTAGGCCTTAATAATCTTTCACCCAGGGCTGATGTGGTGGCTGACTAAAACTATCCCGGGGGAACAGTGTTCAATGTGTCAAAAACCAAGCAGGCTATTTCACCATGTTTTAAAAACAATTTATTATTTATTATGGCTTTCTTTCCCCCCTGACGCATAAATAATTATCATTTCTAAAATACACTTTTCAAAACTTCACATGTTTTAAAGTATGACCCTACCACATGCTACTATTCTTAAACACTGTTTGCACTTTGGTATTTGAGTCAGACAGATAAAGGGGATTTCCACTGACGTCAGAAGCGGGGGTTTTCTTTCTTTCCTTTTCCTGTCAAAGTTCACAACTACAAAACTTTGTAGCTGGTTACAACTCTTGAGATTGCCATCTCATTGTCTCTGTAGCCCATCAGAATAAGCAAAAAAACAACAACAACAAAAAAAACGTCTTTATGTGTTTACAAGATTCTTTATTGTCTTCAAAATTGAATTGAAAGATGAGAGTGTCTGTACATGGCAAAGACAGGAAGAGAAATGTTAGCACCTCCCATCTCTGTGTTTACTGGAAGAAAACAAATGAAATGTCTAATAAATATGTGATGAACTGGATTTAAAATATATAGCCTAGAGGACACTTTCTATAAAACAGCATGCGGTATATGCTCCAAGAATTTATATGATTACGCAAATTCTGTTTTTCCCCTGTGAGTCATAGTTTGTTTTGAACGTGATCCCTTTAATGTTTCTCTGCTGTCTATCAAATAGTACAAATCCGCCCCTGAAAATAGTCCCTGAGCAATTCCATCATTAGTCCGTTTTGTGTCACATGATCTTAAAGCTTCATTGCTCAGTTAATCATATAGAGTACTAATAATTATAATTTATGGTAGTAGGCTAAGTGTTTTTGAAAGATGTATGTCAATAGATGCAAAGGGTCATGAACCTTAAGGAAATTAAAAATAAGAAATTAATCTTAAAATGTGTCTGTGTGATAATGTCAAGTCATAAAGTAGTCTGGAGGTAGATCTGGTCTGCATTGTGTAATCTGGGTTTGTGATGAGATAGTTCATGGAAACCAACTCATTTACTGTAATTCATTTTGAAGACTACGCCCCCTAGTGGTTATACATGCATTAATATGAGATTCGTTATCACAAACTCTGGTGTCTTGGAGTAGACTTTTTTTGTTATCAGATTTTTTTTTTTTATAGCCTATTCCAGTTATAAATCACTCTCATAAATAATTAATTAATTGTCTGTTTGTTGAAGAATAAAAACAAAAAATAGATCCTTAAAAATGACAAAATTGCAGCAAAGGTTAAAACTGATTTCTCTTAAAGTTTTTAGTTGTATCCCGAGCTTCTTGTCTTTCAATCACGCGATTTAAAAAAGTAATCATAAATTGAGGATGTTTAGGAATGGTCGGGTAACGGTATAATACGATGTGATACATACGCGTGATACGATACACGATACAATGTGATACTAGAAAAATTAAATTCTGTCGTAATACTTGATGTTAAAGCAGAAGTTAAAAAAAAAAAAGGTGATGTTTGAGAGAAGCTGTTTCACTTCCTCATTCTGCCCCTAACATCCCATCACACAGGAGCTGTCATCCCTTCAGTTAGATGTTTACTGAATGAGCAAGAGAGGTTTTACACTGTTTAAATCCGTCTGTGCGCTTTAATCACGAGGAAGAAGAGTTAATCTTCGACGGTGAGTGGTTTCCTCTTTTATTTAAAGTTCATCGTCCTGTTTAAAGAGGATGTAACACTTTGATTTCATGTTGGCACGATTGTAGTTCTCAACCACAGCATTTGTATGAGACTTTTTTTTTTCAGCTTTAAAGCTAAATTAGCAGGTAGTTTGTACTTTTAATATCACATTAAATCAGACATAACATGGCTTTACAGGATTAGTGCTTGATCTGATTTTGAACATTTTAGAGATGTCGCTGTTTTTCTGTTCACACCTTGGGCTTTGTTCGCACTTTCAGAGCAGGTGAACAACAACAAAATGTGGTTTCCTTAAGTCAGCGTGTGCTGCCGGAAAAGGTAAAAGGACATAAAACGTGCCACAGCCTGTGATGACTAACTGTCCACCTTTATTTACTTCCTGAAACAGAACAGAGCAGAGAGAAGGAGCCATAGCATGACATCTCTGATGAAGAGCTGAGTTAGAGAAAGGAATCTTTAAACCTTACCTTCAAAAGAAAAGTCAACAAATGTGAGTACTTTATTCTTATTCCCCATTTTATTCATGGGACATCTTTGTTTTTTTATACAAACAATTTAAAGAAATAACTTTACAACTTTACCGTACAGCATCTGTGAATTTGTTTTGCCATTTAATTTAAGTATTTTCTGTCATTTAAAAATACTAAAATATACAGTGTAATCTTTATTTGTTTTGGTACTTAACATACTTATATGGCTATACGGCAGGTATGTTTTCAATACATGGTTAAACATGTGATCTGATGCATGAAATTCAAAGGCGGTTTTTCAAAATAATGTAATATTTCTCATTTGTTGAGGAATAAAAGCTGATTTCAAGTTGTGACTGGAACAAACTTTCTCATTATATATCAGTTTGAGCATCAGAAACAAACAAAACATCTGTGTTTTATTCACCCATCTCACTGCCTAAAGGTTTTCTTTAGTCTATCAGAGCATTGGCCTTAAGAATAATAACAAATATAAACCCATCAGAGGTAAATGAGAGGAAAAGGGAACAGGTGAGTAAATGAGATGGGATGGGCAGGTGAGAATGACGGGAAGAGGCACGAAGAAGTGGCTGGATCTTAGAAAATGAAACTAAAGTTAATCAATTACAGGAAAAACCAGAGCGTAAAGTTATTGCTATAAGGAGCTGACTGAGGGTTTATGACATGTGTTGCATAATAAATACTGGTGTGATGGTTGTATAACACCACTGTAAGAGTCCTTTTGACCGATTTCTTTAGTTTGTACTAGGGCCCGACCGATATGGGATTCTTGGTGCCGATACAGATTTCAATACTGGGAAGGGGAGAAAAATTCCGATACTGACATATCGGCCGATATCTTTCTTAGCTCTATGTTCGATCTGTAGAGATAGATAGATACAGTAAATATATACAGTTATTGCATTGATCCCTCAAATGCAGTTATCAAACACTTATGGAAAAGATATGTTATGAAGACAAGATGGTCACTCAACTGGAAAGTAACAGCTTTTAATCCATATAGCGCCCTCTGCTAGTGACAGCCAGAAGTGTAACACAATGATGCTCAAATGAAAGTACTATTTGACTAGTGTAATAAATCTGGTAATATCAGTGCATATCTGAGATAAAATTAGCCGATACCGATAGTCACTGTATAAGCTAATATCGGCCAATATTATCGGCTGGCCAATTAATCGGTCAGGCTCTAGTTTGTACTAATCCCAACTTCATTGTTGTTTTTGTTTGCTTCTGGCCAACTTATAAGTATCGTACAGCGAGCAGGTTTTTAAGCCATGCAAACTCAACGTACCCCCTGTACATTAAACCTTTTTTATATAAAACTGTATTTGTACAAATATAGCAACAAAACTTACTGACATCATCTTAAAAAGCCTTATATTTCCCCCCCGGGAGTGGTTGAGACCAAATACAGAGCTGAAAGAGAGTGAATATTTGACCCTCATTTTTCAAATAAACAACAAAAGTCTCATTAAATGAATCATCATGCTCTACTTAATGTGTAAATAAGCCTGTGTTGGATTAAAAGTGTGAAGCAGTCATTTAAAACTTGATATTTCAGGGCGCTGGATGGCCTACTGGTGCTTCAGCGTCTGTCTCTTTAAGGCCCCCCCTCCCCACATGCCAAGTTTCTTCTTATTGGCTTACATAGAGGCTTGAAGCTGTCTCGTGAAATTCTTGGTTTCATATCAGGGAACTATGCCGTGATTTGCAGAACAAGCCATTTAGCACACTCTTCAACATACGTCTACCTCGTGATCTGAAACTTTAACCATGTGTAGTACGGGAATCCAGCATTGTAACACTATATGTGAGTTTTAAAACGGGGATCAGCATAATAGGCCAACTTAAAAAACCTGTATAATGTTAATGCACCTTGTAACTGATCATGTATTCCTTCAGTCCACTATGGCTAAGCCCAGCTATCTGTCCATGAGGACTATTGAAGACTCCCACCTGGAGGGCTGGGAGATGATTGACTCTGGAGGTTTTGGACACGTCTACAAAGTCAAGCATCGTCAGTGGTGCTCCAATGTTGCCATTAAACTGCTTCGTTTTGATGACAGGTAATCATTATCAAGAGTTTCTATTTTCTTCAACCAAAAGTTGTTGAGAGTAACTAATGACGCAACTAAAACTCACACAGTCAAACTTTGCTGCGAGAGCTCAACATGATGTATCAAGGGAGCAGCCCGTATGTCATTCAGGTCCTCGGGATCTTTAGGGGTCAACTGCCATCTAACCCATCATCGACACAGCTTGGACTGGTCATGGAGCTCATGGAGAGAGGATCGGTTGCTTTTCTACAGGTAAGTAGTGGTGGAACAAAAAATCAAATATTGTACTGCTATAATTAAGATACACACATTAAAGCTTTGCAGTAAAAAAATCAGCTTTAATTCTTTTAGATCTTAGCGCAGCTTTTGATACTGTTGATCACACATTTTTAATTGATCGTCTTGAAAGCTGGGTTGGTTTAAAGGATACTGCACTTAGCTGGTTTTACTCTTATCTTTTAGAATGAACCTTTGCGGCCACCATCGGTAACTACTCCTCCTCTGCCTCTAACATTACCTGTGGTGTACCACAAGGTTCGGTTTTAGGTCCCATTTTATTCTCTATTTATATGCTGCCTCTTGGCCAAATTATTGAACACCACAAAGTCTACTTTCACTGCTATGCAGACAATACACAGATATACCTTCCTTTGAGACCTGAGGACCCTAGAGGAGCCTAGCTGCTGTCAGAAACTGTCTAAACGATATCAACTGCTGGATGGCACAAAACTTTCTCCAACTGAACAATTCTAAACCTGAAATCATAGAATTCAACCCGCCAAACTCCACTCATATTTCAAAGAGCAGCCTCGGTCCCAAATACAACAGCCTATTAAAGTAGGAATGTAAATGAACAAATGTCATAAAAACTACTTCCTACTCATAACAAACATTTTGTGACTTTCTTCTATAGTTAAGAGAAAGTTGAAATAGATCTATTATGATGGAAACAATCTTCTTCCAACAGAAATCTTTACCTGGACCTCCACCCTGGCCATTGGTCTTCAGAATGGCTCACCAAGTGGCTTTGGGGATAAACTTCCTCCACTGTCTGTGCCCCCCTGTGCTCCACCTTGACCTGAAGCCCAGCAACGTGCTGCTGGACCCCTCTCTTAATGCCAAGGTGAGTTCAAGGCTTTCGGGGGAAGGCAGTTTACTAAGTCTAATGCCATCAGGGTTGATAAGTTAATGCTGTCAAAAAGTTGTATTGTAGTACAAGCTGTATGTCGTATACATGTAGGGTAACTGACCTCTTCTGGACGAATGAGTTGCTGGGAAGACAACTGATAGAAAAAGAAGAAGGGGGACTAGCCAAACATCACTGAAAAACAATACATGTTTGATAACTACGAGCTACTTTTATACAACAGATTCAGGCACTTCATACTATTGCGTTAGTTATATTAGCTTAGTCTTGTTATTTTGATGAAGCCAACTATTTTTTAAGGTTAGGGTTTTAAACCTTTTTTTTTGCATCATGAAAAGCCACCGAATGGTAACGTGTTCTTTTAGCGTCTTCCTAGCTAACATATTATCTAGTGGGTGGCTGTACGCTAACGTTAGACATTGTCTGTGTTTTCCAATATATTGTTATATCTGGAAATACATAATCCGTACCAGGAATGCTTTATTTGTCCCGAGGTGGTAATTTGGTTATATGCTATACGACATGCACACATTGATGGAGGATCCTGGTTCAAATTCCAACCAGACAGTTTGTGGTGTTTGCATTTGTTCCCTGTGCAAGCGTGGGTTCTTTCCGGGGAACTCTGGCTTCCTCCCACAATCCAAAGACATGATTGTTAAGTTAATTGGTGACTCTAAATTGTCCGTAGGTGTGGATGTAAGTGTGGCTGGTTTTCTGTCTCGATTTGTCAGCCCTGTGATTGACTGACAACCAGTCCAGTACGAACAGGCCTTTCACCAAATGACAGCGGGAATCGGCTCCAGCCCTTCATGACTCATTATGTTCTTTAGTCGCTGATCAAGTAGTGGACTGGTAATTCATGTAAGAAACCCTAAGTCTACATGATTAACAAACTGGAAAACAGCAGTACAACATCATTGCGGTTCATCTTGTTGTGCGGTTTCCCCCTCAATGATGTAACTTCAGAATATGTTAGTGACTCCAACGCTATGATTCAGCTTCAATAAGAGAAGTAAAACTAATGCTGAGCCAATCTTTTCTGAAAACTTTCTGTTAAAAAAGGTCATTCGTTTTGGCAGGCTTTCCTCCTTTTGCTAATCTTTCATCTCCTCTCCAGCTTACAGATTTCGGCCTTTCCAGATTTTACCACAGTAGCACGCAGCTTTCCAAGAAGGACACTGAGACAGAGGGGGGAGGGACACTTCCATATATGCCACCAGAGGCATTCGATGTGAACTACAAACCTAAACAAGCCTCTGATATCTACAGGTATAAAGGAACTAAACCAGAAATTGGATAATAGTGTTTTACTTATTATATAATATTCAACTATGCCACCTTTATCAAGATACACATACTGAGGTCAATTTTACTTTTAAAGCAGGAAGTAAGTAGCTTTACTAAAAGAGTTATTGTCGTAGAAAGAAGCACATATTTTCACCGGAAGTCAAAATAAACCCTGGGAGAAGTTATTTCTGTTCAGAAGGTTACACAGCTTTTACTGTACTCAGTCAAACTTACAGGCAATCAGGTGACTTCCTCGTCAAACAAACCACACCACATGCATCTGCAATACCACTGCACTTGAGTTTTTGTTACAGTTTAGTTTGGCTGCAGTTTACAGATGAAAAAGCCCTGATGTATGTACAAATGTATGACTTACATAATCAATCCTCTCCGCTCTCTTTCAGTTATGGCATACTCTTATGGTCCATTGTCACAGGGAGAAAACCTTATGAACGTAAGAGACACTCGTGCCTTTTTGTCCTCCTCTCTTATTTTATCCTTGCTTTTCTTTTCTTTCTTTGTTATTGTTGTTACAAAATTGCTTCTGAGTCGTCCGTGCTGTGGTTTGAACCCTGCTGGAGGTATCCAGCTGCCTTTCATTACTGCTAGTTAACGTGAGCACGATTGAGCACAATTTGTTTGCCAAAATCTCCCAAGTAAAATGTGTAGCAGAATTAGTTTTTAGTTCAACAACCCAGACAGCAGCTCAGACAAGCTCTCTCTTTTGCAGATGCAACATCCGACTTAGTCCGCCTTCTAATCCCGGAAGGACAACGTCCATCACTGGATGATATCAGAAGCCAAGTGACGGGGGTGGCAGGTTTGGAGGTGCTGATGGCGGTCATGGAGAAATGCTGGAGAGGAAACCAAGACCAAAGGCCCTCGGCCCATGGTTAGAAATTCGTTTTAACCTACCCTGAATCCAACATGCATACAACAGGAGAAATTGTTAAATTTAGTATCCTGATAACAACAGGATGGTTGTGCCATATCAATATTCCTGAAACAAAATTTGACTATTTTATCACCTTTTTTGCAGTGTGTACAACGGTGACAGAAGAATTGTATAAAGTGCACAAACATGCGATGGTTGACGTTGTCCATCAGGTGCTCAAGGAACTGGTAAGAAACAAATCGCCCCATCGACACTCGAATCATGCGGGAAGGCTGTAAAATGTGAACATAACTCAGCAAACTTTTCTTTCTGAACTGAGATTGACTCACACTTTCTCTTCCTCTTCTCAAGGATCAACAGGAAGAAGGTTTAGTAGAGCAAGTTCAGAAGGTTCACATCTCCGAGGTGTCAGGTTGGTTTTTTTTATATTTCATTATTTCACATTTAGAAGAACACTTGTCCATTAAATGTTTCATGTACGTTTTTTTCTTTTTTAACAGTGGGTGCCAGACGTGAGGAAGTGAATCTGTATGATAGCGTGCCAACAGGGCCTGCACCAGTACAGGTATGAATCAGTTCAACCTCAATTAGAGACTTTTATTTTAACGCTGAAGAAAGAGATAAACCTTCAGAGAGAGGCTCACTTCCAAAACAAAACTCCTCGTGGAGAAAGATACGACTTTGACTTCAAAATGTAGACTTTTCTCACGTTATATTTCATTACTATCTTTAAACATCAAAGAATATAAAATGACTCACTGTGTGGTCTGAAAAAACATTCTTTGTTTTCCACCTTTGACAAATATTATAATGTGCAGTTTCAAACTTTATGTGCCACCACAGAGTCATATTTCACACATCATTTCCTTCTCCTTGAGGGGATTTGACACAGAAAAAGCTGTTGAACACAGAAAATCGTACTCCTAAAAAGTTCATAAAATTAAGTTAAGGTTGGACAATCAGTGATAGAAAGGGAATTGAAATCAAATCAAGATTATCAGTGCATTAGCCTACTGATTTCAGTACTTTTGGAGTAAGCTAGGTTAGCTGTCTCTTTGCTAACCTAAGCTAGCTAGCTTCCAGCAATAGCTTTAAACTTTGAGGGTTTGAAAACTTTAAAATAATTTTTGGTTAGTAATAAATAACAAGTGTTTTCAACAGTTCATAAACTATTGAGCAGTCATTTGTAATGGCTGGGCTTCCAGAGACCTCTTGTGCAGTTTTGGATACCAAAACCGAATTTAATATTAATATGACCAACTTTACAAACTTGAAAATAGCATGGTGTGCTACCTGTTTGTTTCGTTGCAGGAAATGGCTAGTGGGCGGATGGCAAATCAAAGACCTGAACCAAGACTCAGAGGTAAAAAGGAAGTTGGTGTTTCAGCTGCAAAGAAACCACAAGACCCGTGGCTGAATGTTTTCATATCATGTCCTTCCTTCTTTCAGATTCCCCTTCACATCGACCAGCCACTAAGTGTGAAGTCGACCAGGGCAGCTCAGTGATGGACAAAAATGTAAAAAAGTCTTCCGTTTACCCCATTTTATCTTCACAGCCCACTCGTTCCAGTGTGCACTCATCCCACAACAGAGTACAAAATATGTTCCCAGAGCTCGTGAGTTTTTAATTTTTTTTTTTACTTATCTCTTCTTTAACTACATTCCATCAACCAACCAATCAATCAACCAATCAACCAACCAATCAATCAACCAATCAATCAACCAATCAATCAATCAATCGAGATTTTCCCTTCATGACATCACAAAGGGCAGTAACCCCTCCCCTAAGTGGGTGACACTCCCACAGCTAGGGGTTTGTTCTGCCCTCTGAGTCTGCCTTCTCACCGTAAACAATTGGGATAAAAATCAAAAAGTTGAGAAGATTTCAAGAATAAAGTCAAAAAGTTGAGATTTAAGTTCAAATACATTTTTGAGAATGAAGTCAAAATTATCAGAAAAAGTCAAAATGTCCAGAAACAAAGTTGAAATGTTGAGAATGAAGTTGAAAAACAGTTTTCAAAATTTGGACTTCATTCCCAAATTCGAATTGTCTCGACTTTATTTCCAAAACTTTGAAATTTTTCTCGATATTTCGACTTTTGTCATGAAGTGCAAATTAAAAAAATCTTAATTTCTCACACCTGGCTATAATCCTTCAAAAAATGAAAAACCATTTTCATCAACTGGCATTTTATTATTTACCTATTTGACAGTTGTTTTTTCTCTATTATAAGAAGTTTTATTCTAGCTGTATTTTCACTGATTTTTAAGTCATTAACACAGCAGAGTTTTTCTCACCTTTTATTATTATTTATTTTATTCACAGCGTCGGTGTTCCATCTCCAGCCTTTTGCCCTGCTTCCCCTCCCCGCCTTCACGTGAATATTACATCAACATGAGCGATGTGACAGGAATTCAGTACGGCAACGGCAACACCATGCACATCAACCTGCATGAGAGGAAGCGGCACCCGTCAGCACCTCCTAGTGTCAACTTCCCGTCCACACAACCAGGAAGTAGATTGGACAAGAAAGAAAGCTGAGTCAAGTGAAGGGGGGCGTGAGGGAAGTGGCGGACACCAACCGCACTCACAATTTACCACACCAGCATTCATCATTACAAACTTTTCATACTGTGCTGTTTTTAAATTGCACTCCTCAATGAATCCTCAAATTTGACATATTCTCATAAAATGTATTCACCGTGCAATAATGAAGAGCTGTTCAGTCACATCAGACGATTGAATGTTTCAAGTATGTAAAAAAATGTCCTGACTGATATTTTGTGAATTTATTTATTTAGCCGGATAATTTGAATTTTAGGAATGTTTAGGTAAATATTTTGTGTTTCCGAGCAGGTATAGAAATGTATTTTCTTTTACTTTTGGACCATTTCGACAATTCAAAGGTAGCTAGATCTGTTGTGCTGTCCCACCCTGATACATATGTGGTGCCAAAATTGCACAAATCCACTATTACGCATGACAGACGCACCTAGCTGAGCCACTGTACTTCATTGTACTTCTAGCTAATGCAGTAAAGATCATGATGACTGGGCAGAAACACCCTCAATATTGAAAGCGAAGAATCATCGCTTCATATGGAGTATGAGTAGTTGTCGATACTGGTGTACATTTCTCTAATTTTACAGTTTACAATAAAACAACAAACAGCCTTATGTAATTAACACCAGGGTGTGGTGTTGCCACTGCAAGAACTGAGGGAAGTTTAGCCAGACTTTGGTTTGTTATTTTTTTTCAGAGTACTTCCTAGTATAAGAGGAACCTCAAGAGAAATAATAAACTATGAGCGATCAGTACTTTTCATTTTGTAGCATGGCTGGATCATGTCAATTCAGTGTTGAGCAGTACTTTGAGGAGTTCCCCCAATGGAGTCCTCTAAACTGTTGGGACCAAAATCGCATATTAAGTTCTCTTATTTATTTAGTTTAGTTGGTTTATCCTTTATTTACACATGAGGAAGTTCATGGTGAAGACAATCTCCATGTATTATGGTGTGGCTTCATTTTTGTAATGTATGTTTTAAATTTCAAATCTGTTTTTTAAAGAAGCTCTTTAAGTATTTTTGTTATTTTTTTCCAGTCTTTATTGATTGTGGTTTTCATCTTTGAACATTTTCAACGTTGAGCCAGGCCTAACACCTCTGTTCTGTCCTGTCAGCAGTGTAAATATCAGTCAAATGCGTTCATATGGTTTTGCCTTTGTACCAACTGTGGTCAATGAATATCCTCAGTCACAATGCCACCATCAGATGCCAAAAACCGACTTAAGAACACATTGACTACAAAACAGGGGGATTTATTGTCACACAAAAATGTAAACTTCCTAACTCAATACTTTGTTAAAACCAATGTCCATCACTGTTTCATCAATGGTTATTGAAGTTTGACTTGTGGTTCTTGATCATAAAATGTACTTTGTATAAATATATATATTTGGAAAGCACTAGTGTCTGATTTATTGTTTTCTTATTCTTGTGACTGTTTGTACAACTTAATGAACTTGTGAAGTGCAGCAAAGAAAATGGTGAGAAATAAATGAATTGTGACCTTACTATATGATCAGACATTAAGGAAACATGCTATGTTGAAGTGTTGGCTTCTCTGACAACAATGCAGCAGCCAGCATGTCCTCCTTCTAACTTTAGATTCTGCTCCTGAATGCTCTGGATTTGTTTTGACCAGAGAAGGCAGGCGGTTTTAAGGCGACCCCCCCACACGGCCGTTTTGGACACCCCTTGGTTTTCCAGGTAAACGGCAAACCAACAGGTGTTGCAGCGATGGAAGCGGGCAAGAGAACTGGTTCAGATAGAAGTGATTGTACCCGACCTAAAAAGATATTGGAGATGCTTTTTATCATTGGAGAGAGATTAGAAGGCAGAAAGGTTTCAAGACCGATGCAGAGCTGGCTAAACACTGAAGCTTCAGGTTTCAGAGACATGGCAATCTGCATGTACAAAGAAGCTATGGAGAAGGGGGCCGGTGGAGACAGCTCTCTCAAATGTTTTGAATTTGGACTGCAGTACCCATTTTAAACACTGGATGTCAGAGTTACATACTGTGCCTAAAAAACATTTTTTACTCAAAGTAAAACTCTTGTATTTGTGTATAACTGAAGCACAATGCAGTTGATGTAAAGGTGCTGCAGTAAAAAATGTTGACAGCAATAATTCTTCACTCAAAAGAAGCATGATATAAACTGAATAGCTGCATGCAATATTTAAGTTTAATTGTTGTGCTTTATCACAAAAAAAAACATCTTAAAGGAAAAATCTGACATTTTTGATTCACCGGATGGTAAATTAAACCTTTAGAAGGACCAAACCCAACATTGTGTTCAATTCAGGAATTTCTAATAAAATGGGTAATGTAGATTTTTATCAAATTCTAATTAAACACTTTGTAGGTTTGATGAAACAAATTCAAATAGCTATTTCTGAATAGCTATAGCTCCAATATCTCCTGCACATTTTCTTTATTTCATTTTTAGTTTGATGACATGTCTAGTTTGTACTTGGTGTGCTGAAAGTCTTCCTTAACTTTGTCTATTACTGAACCTTGACTGTAGGTGGCACTACTGCTTTTCTAATCAGCTTTATTAACTTTTATTGACTTCTGTCTCTTCTGTAACCACTGACAATCTATTATTTATCCCGTCCATTTCATTAGTGTAATTACGAGTAATGTCTTGTTTTATACCTGCAACAGAAAAATGCAGAGAAATGAAATTGAAAATCCTCTCATTTGTGTTGATTATTTTCTGTGATCAGTTTTGGTATTCATCTAGTTCTTGAATGAAAGTCTTCACATTGTTTGATCCTTCAGACATGAATCTGTAAAGTGCTTACACAGGCCTCTGCTGTGCACCGGGGCGTTGACACTGATCGGATGTGACGGTCCAGTGTGAACTCTGCAGGCTTCTGGCACCGGATCCCCTTCATCGCTGCCAATCCTCCATCTGCTACCGGATCCACCGCAGAGAGACCCACTGTTGCTGTGTGCCGGCCCCGACGACAAACTCACAAATGATTTATGTATAAAGTTTAAGATGTTTATCTTAAAGCTGCAAATTCATGCTTAAGTTGTTTACGTTCATGATTCCTTTGCAGTTATTGCGAGATTCAATATGTGTTTGGTCGTGTAAGTTACCATCAATGCAACTCTTTGGACACACAGCAGGGACACAAACTATTTTCAGAACAACAGTCTGTTTGCATCAGGTGATTGATGGCACGTGTATGAGGTTTTTTATGGGATTTTTTCAGAGGCCATAATAGTGTCAGCATTTTCAAGGAGCATGTAGTAAGCAGTAGTATAAATGCTCCAACTACTGGAGACTCAAGCCGGACTCCCCATGTCTGCTTACTACTTGCTGATGACTTTAATTGAAGGGGTTAGCCCCAGAGTTAGCTACAACTTGGCCATGGATCAAACCAATAATTGTCTCCTGTGATTTCTGACCATGGAAACCACAGTTAGAATGGTGAAGCAAGAAAAAGTGGATTCTAAGAAGCTACCCAGTTAAGCTAGCAGATAGATGGATGGATGAATAGATATAATCAAAGGTAGACAATAGACACCATGATTTTCTTTATTGATTAAACAATTGTATCTCTGTATTCCATGCAGTAAAGGCGGCGTTCACTGTACAATTTCTGGCAAATTTAAACCCGTATTTTGAGTCGGACGACTGCACGATGGCCCCTCCCAGCCCAAACGGACTGATGATTTTCTGGCATGTTTGAAATTTTGGTCATCAGAAAAATCGCACAGAGAGCAGAGCCACAAGCCGGTTCCTCAACTGTGGGTGTCCACAACTTTCTCCTGGGCCCCCTCCTCCCAAATAATTTGTGCACACCCCTGTACTGGAGCTATGAACTGTTATTAAAACCAAGAAACTGCCTACACAAACTGACAGACAGCGTCCGAAAATCAGCAGGCATGCCTGTTTCTGTCTCCCCCTCAAATCATGAAAGAAACATCGGCAGGAAATATCTGCAGGCCTCCATCTGACAGGGAACATTTGTTATGATGTAGCTGCTAGTCAGCTTGTGTTTATCGTTCATGCTGAGTGTGATAGAGAGAGTGAGTGAGTACGTTTTTGCCGGTGTTTGAATTTGAGCCGTGCATACGAGACAAAAATACACATATATCTATTGACAACTGTGAATGCTCCATCCTGATTTAACTCATACAGTCTGTGCACATACAGTAAATCGTGAGCTTTGGTCTGTGTGTTGCAAATGATTCAGTCGTACAGTGTGATCTGACATTCCCCCAAAAATAGTATATAATCATACAGTGTACGCCGGGCTTAAATAAAAATCACAATCCTCTGACAGGTTGAAACCTGGTTGTTAGCAAGCATATACAACACATACAGTAGTTAGACAACACTTAGACAAAGTAGAATAATATAAATGTAGACTACATTCAGAATTATTTGGTGCAAAGTCAATTTGATATGAGTCATTGCATCAAACCAGTTTGCTGTCACTTCCAACTTCAGCATAGTGTTCAGCTTGTGTTCAATGATCTTTCCAAATTCCTTTCTTTCTTTATACAATCTGTTTTCAAACCTGACCCTCCCTTACTTCCCCTGTTCAACAACAAGAACAGGTTCTTCATCCTACCACAAGCAGATCTACAAAGGAAACACCAGAAACCCAGAGAAGGTGGAATACTTCCACCCTCCCATCAGGTTCCCTCTCTCCAGTTTGAGGTAAGCCTTGTCCCCTCTCTCCATTATCACCAGTCCAGCATTGGTGGCAGCTTCCCTGGTCACGTCCTGATCACCTGCGAAGGCTGATATCACCGGCCAGCCGTTCAGGACCAAACTCACCTGAGAGAGATGGGTGAAGAGAATGAGATAAGAATAAGAAAAGTGGAAACTGTGGGGGACATTTATGAATTTGATCTATTTTTGGGTCATTAAAGGCACTTTGAATTGGTGTCTAAAAGGTGTTATATAAATAAACTTGCTTTGCCTTTACAGTCAGAACAATACAGTATCATGTCAGCTAGACACATAACCATGTACTGTAGTTGTAGGCAGGTTTTAACCTGTTGGCTAGTTTTCTTAAAGACAATTGAGCAGCTACAATAACAGCTTTGTGGGTTTGTACTTGAAACATTTTCTGACTCCCAACTTGTAAAATCAGCAGCTTTGTTAATGTCCCTAAGCTTCGAAATGTGACTGTCCAGGAGCACCTCAAATGTTCAGCGACACCGAAGCTCACTATTTGACATTTTATGTCTTATTTGATAAGTCTGTACAATAAATACACTGCATTAAAAGAAAAAAAGATTTGCTGGTATTGGTTGTCATCACCTAAGAATATGTTCCTTGGGCAACTTGTTTGCTTCAAATCAATTGATCATTGTTAATTTTGTTTTTGGAAGAACTGAAATAAGATTATATGTAGCATAGTAAATTATTGGAGGACTGGTAGTGGATTGAACTGTTCTTTTAAAGGTCACATATTGTACTCCTCTTCAATAGGTTTTAATAAGTCTCAGAGCTCCCCAAAACGTGTCTTTGAAGTTTCTTCCTAAAAATCCAATCTGATCCTGTATTTGATCATGCCTATAAACCCCTATATTTCAGCCCTGCCCAGAACAGGCTTTTTTGGTGTCTGTAGCTTTAAGTGAAAGTGAGCTCTGTTTGACCACACCCCTTTCTGGAAGGGGATGTACCTCAAGCTTTCTTTCAACGTGCTTCCTTGTTTACAGTAGAAAGACGGACTCACAAATCACCTAAATGAGGCAGCATCACCCACCCAGGGGAGGGGTTACTGCCCTTGAGGGAAAATCTTCAATTGAGGTGTTTGAGGGCACATTTTCTGAAAAGTGGAGCTTTCTTATAATTGGGGGGTTGGTAGACAGACTAGGGACACATAATAGTGTTTCAAAAAAATGGTTAATTGTATTTTGCTAAGCCATACTGTTCTTACTTGTATTGTCTGCCGGTTGTAAACTTTGACAACATGAAAGCTGAAACTGTAGACTCCTTTTCTGGGGGCCACAAAGATACTCCTCGCAGGATCAAAGTGGCTGCCAACGTTTACGAGAATCTAAGAAGAAAAAGAGATGAAGAGATATTATTATTGGTACAGTAAGGCCTTAAGTTGGTCTACTGATGGTGTATTAAATTATTGAGATATTTTATTAAAAATCTGTTATTAGGGTATTTTTCTGATTTTAAAAACAGTTGGCCTACCAAAACTACACACAAAGCAGGATATTTGCTTTACGATGCAGGAAACAAGATACAGGATACAAAAGAGACAAATGAATAACATTTGTCACTCACAATGAATCACTCACTTTAAACTGTAATTATGGCTTTTGTTCCATAATGTTAGACTTAAAAGTAATTGTTAATTGTTTCACGTGCAGCCCCATTACTAAGCCCTAAGCTTTAATTGTGTGATAGTGACTCACCGG